CCTCTTTCCTCCTCTCCGCCCCTTCTTCCCTGCCCCTCGCGTCTTTCGTCCCGTCGTCTGCCCGAGTCCTTCATCTTTCTCCCCCCTTCCCCCCCTCCTCCCTCCCTCCCTGTCTGGGCAGATCTCGCAAGCCTTATTGGGTTCGAAGCTCGACGTGCTCACCCTGGATGGGATGGTAGAGCTCACGGTGCCAGCTGGGATTCAGCACGACACCATGCTGGTCATGCGGGGCAGGGGTGTGCGGGAACTTCAGGTAGAGGGGAGGGCGGGAGGGAGGGGGGAAGAAGTGGTAGGTGGCGGTGAGGATGGTATCGGTGGGAATGAAGGCGGAGACTCAGGATTCGAATCGACCTCTCCCCGTCTTTCTTTCCCTCCTTCCCGCCCTCCCTCTCTTCCTCCCGCCGTTAGGGGTCCCGACGGGGCAATCAGATCGTCCACGTCAAGATCGAGATTCCCAAGACGCTGAGCAGCAAGCAGAAGGAGCTGATGCAAGCCTTCCAGGAGGAGGAAGAGAAGAAGAAGGCAGGAGGTCGGGGAGGGGGAGGCTGCTCCTCTTCGTCCTCCTTTTTCACGGGCGGGTTCCAGGGGAGGGTGAAGGAGGCGTATGCGCGCATCAAGGAGTATTTGGGGAAGGAGAAGGAGAAGGAGAAGGAGAAGAAGTCCAAGGAAAAGAAAAAAAGCAGCGCAAGCGCATGAATGATGATGGAAGGGCCAGAGGGATTCCAGAAGATAAGGGCAATTTCGTAAAGCAATCCAATTTTGACGGTCGGTCAAGGAGACCTTGGTCGTTTCCCTTTCTCAGCGACAGCTCGTCAAGCGACAGCTCGCAGCATTGAAAGTCGGAGAGATTGCTTTTATTTCTGCTTTTATTTCAATTTAATTTTAAGGAGATGACGCAACTTTCAATTTTGTAAATTTAAACACTGCAAATCAACCGCCCATCGAATCTCAGGGGCCAAGACACACGCTCCCGCAGCGCCTGCCTCTCGATCATCGCCGCTTCGGCATGGGACTGAATCACATCGACCCTCCCAATACTCCTCTGTGACCATCTGCGTGGCAATCTAGGTCTTGTCTGCGCGCGCACTTTGCACATTCAGGGGTATTTCCGCATCGTCCGCCGAGCTTTCTCCATCCCGAACGCCTCC